GCGGGAGTGAACGCGTTGCAGGAAAGGCAAAAAGATATGAGACGGAAACGTGAACCGAACTCACGACGTTCGCAAAAAGAAGACGACACCAGGGCCGCCGATAGTGCTGTGCAAGGGGACTACCTACTTCCACTTACCTGCTTGTGTGGCCAACCACTACGCCACGAGGGCGTAGTAATTGACCACGATAACAGATCGTGTTTCCTTGACTTATATAGACCAAAAAAGAACGCTCGGGATACCAGAGGGCCTCGAGGCGGAGTGGTGGCTCCAATCCATGAATGGCAGGCGCGGCGTGGGCAAGGACACTGGCAACACGCTGCCCAACATAGCAGCCACGCCTTCGCTGATGCTGGTACCGCACCTGGGCACGCAGGCTTTGCCTCTTCATTCCCGTGCTGTCGACAAATTTTGGATGGAGAAAGATCCGCATGGTACTGCAAGGTCATATTCTCTCCTGTGCCCCTGCAACAGTACTCTCATGGTTTTGTGCCTTTGTTGCAGCCGCCGAGGACCTCTTGAAGCTTTGCATCGGTTGGTGCATTGTGTTGGCCTCAGATGTGAATGGTGTTGAGTTTCCATGCACATGGCGGTGCCCCCTTGAAGTTTCTTTCTCCGGAGAAGTTCCAACACAACACCAACACCTTTGAGCCTCCACACCCACATCGGAGCCCACGCACCTAGGGGAATCAACTGCAATCCTTTCGAGTCTACTGCGAGGGAAACACCATACAAGCGTGCATGCAGCGATTGCGCTTGATTGATAGCAGGTGTAGCCCATCGACATTCACTCGACGGCACGAAGCCAAGGCTCCAGCCACCCGCAACGCAACACGCGCTACTTGTTACTTCGACCTGGACGACAAGGAGCCGGATGGAAACAGCCTCGCGACACCGCCCTCAAGTGTTCGTTCCGTAACGCCAAACAGAAGGCCATAACGATGTCGGCGGTAATCTTGCATCAAGCAGATGAAATCCAGAGCGAAAAGGCCGAGTCCCCGAAAGTATATTGACTAGCCTCGGGGACGAGATAGCAGTCTTCGAGTACGCAGAGCGCAGCGACCGCCATTACACCATCAAGGTGCGACCATACCACCATGCTGAACATCAGACATGGACTCTTTTTGGGCACTATGGAGCCTCAGGGCCCCAGCCGACCGACAGCAGCGACACGCTCAATAAGTGCAGCACAGGGATCGCTAACACTCCTTCAATTCATTGTCGAGCCTTTTTGATAAGGCGTACAACGCGCTGGCGTAAAACAACCGTGGTAGTCCAGACTTTGTTGACGTACAATGACAGGGCGGCCAGCTAAAGCACCCCTGACAGAGCAAACCGACTACGACCGGGAAAGGGCTCTCTTCTCGCGACCGTTGTCAAAACCAGAGACAACGAGCTCCTCGCGTACAGTCCCGGCTGCTGGTCTCTGGGTCGCCTAAGAAACAAGACCATAGCCCGCCTCGCTGATTGCCCGAGTACGCAAGCGAAAACCAGATGTCGAGGCATATGATCATACTCAGTCACTAGCCATCAACAGTCGCCAGGCGGTCGAGTCCAGCCAGAGGCGCCGAAACGTCAACCTCGCACGATATTGAACCTCCTCAATCAACGCTGGAGGGAAATTCAGCCCCACACACTCCTGAGGGGCATGTTGCCCAGTCCGAGGTCAAGATCTTCCAAGGCTCCGGCTTCAGTAGACAGTCCATGGGCGTCGAGCTGAGATGTACCGATGACGGATGGAAAGCAGACAACGACGGCATGTCCAGCATACAGACGGCAGTGCCAGACTAGACATTCAGGGGTTCGAGATGATGTTCTTCAATGTCCTAAGGCTTGCTGCCTCAACACGATACACATATTTGAATGAGTAACAGCGATCAGTTGACGCAGATGTACCCGAGACATCTAGGAAGCATCGCCAATGCGGGTAGCTTGCGATAGTCGTCATCGAAATGGTCCTCTTCGAAATAGCTCCCGGCTAGGTGATCCTCGTCCAGGGTCTTCGTCCAGACTGTCCTCATCCAGAAGGTCCCTGTACATATGGTCCTTGTCCCGGTGTTCTAGATCCAGATGGTTCTCATCCAGGTGGTCCTCATCCGAATGGTCCTCATCCAAGTGGCCCTCATCCAGATGGTCCGTATCGAGGTGTCCCGTATCGAGGTGGTCCTTTCCAGGTACTCCATTTTCAGCTGGACCTTATCCAGTTCTCCCACATCCAAGAGATTGATACAGGGCCTTTATCCAGCACGTCTCCTCTGTACTCATTCTTTGACAAAACCAGTCCTCCCCAGAGGCGCGACTCTATCCCGAGGAAGCAAGACATGCCCACGATCCACTTGAGGAGATGTGACTGCATGACATTGCCTCAAACAACCCGCCAGGACGATTCAATTCAAGATTTCCAGGGCATGGTGGTGGTTTCAATCTCCTAACTAGCTCTTTCGCTCTTCTTCTTCGGCATCCGGATGGGCAGTGATAGGACCGCCCCAGATATACCTCAACATCCAAAGGTTCTTCCAGAGGTACTATGTGTATGGTACATGAGGATACCATATATGTTATCAATGATGCCTCATTCCCGGATTGATGACACGGCACCTAGAGGTGGAATCCCTCTCATGATTGTCGTGATCCGGTATAATGGCGACCGAGAAAGAGATAGTCTCGGGAAGGACAAGATCGGCGCATGTCTGGTGTGGAAAGCCACTGGAGAAGAGTGCTAAGCCGGATGACTGTCCTGGTTGAACATCCCCAGAGCTCTTGTAATGGGTTGAACGCACGTACATGCGTCCGACAAAGCAACAGGAGCGGGCTGTGCAGCTCTACCAAGCCGTATGACTGTTTTCGGCCGAAAGCCTGGTGCTTCATCGCTGCACATCCATCAGAAGGCATGGCATTCCGCAAGTTCCGATCCCGGCAAGAAGGATGCCAACACCCAGATACGCGCGTGTGCTGTTGATGAGGTCCGCCCTCGTATCTCTCGGAAGCAGCACATGGAACACTCAATGTGACCTTACGTCCTGCACGTACATCCAGCATGAGTCTATTCTCGGGCCATCATGGCAGGCATCCGCTGTCCTTCAGTGGGGCCTCGCACTCCGTTGTTGATGCATACCGCAAGGCTGTTGCTTCTTCCCACGCGGCACTTTTGCAATACCAGAAGCGGCCGGTGCTCTCTGGCGGTATGATTGCCCACCTTGCCGTACAACAAACTGGAAGCCGTAGAAATCTTTCGGACTTTCAGGAGGCACTGATCTAGCTCACCCGAGCTCTCGTTGGGTATTGTTGCGCGACAATGGACCAGGTTACCGTGGGCCGATGTCCTTACTACGCGGCAGGATGAAGAAGCGGTTCGGTCGCATTTGGACTTGTCGTCGCATGTGGGGTCGGACCCTCAGTCGCGAGGGGCTGTCTGCATGACAAGCTGTTGCCGAGATTGCATTTTGGAATCAACTCTTGTCTGTGTGGGCGTGTCCGCAGCTTTCTTACAACACGCGACCATGAGAGAGGCGACTGTAGCAGCCTGCATTGCCGTTGTTTGCAACCGATCCTCGTTCGATGGATGCTGCTAGCGCTCGCTGGCACTACTGGTCCTCGGGCTGCTTCTCCAAAATTGCGGGGCGGTACAGATACCCTCCGGCGCTGACGTTGCTCTCAGATGCTGAGGGGTCTGTTGTTCGTCGTGCTAAGGTCAAACTGTGCTAAGGTCAAGCTGTGCTTTGCAAGGTGACGCGGAGCCCAGCGTCATCGTGCCTGTGGCTGCACGATCAGTCGGGGGCTACAAGAGGTCCTCGTATGTCCTTCCTTGGTCCTTGCCTCATCGTGGGAAAGGTTGTAGGTTGTTGTAGTGCTGTTAAGGCCGACGGGTACGGAACTGCTTGGCCTCAGCCCAAGGCATCCTTGAATCGGCAAAGCGACAGGCTGCTCTTCATAGGTGTCAAGGTCTGCCGGAGGGAAACCGATGAGCCAAATCATTGTTTCCAAAGCCTGATGCCGGCTAAGGGAGGGTTTTGGGGCGAGCGAGCTGCGGAGGTCCGTGGAAAGGTCACCGTACACCGACCCTGCGGCAGCGGTGCGTGCGGCAAAGGAGCTGCGAGGGCGCTTGAGGAACTGAAGGGAAAGAAGGACATCAAGAACGAGCTGTTTCTGATGGTTCTCAGACAGGAGAATGTCTTTGGGCTCGGGTGGCCGTCGAGTTGAGGGGGTGAAGGAGAGGAGGAAGGGCAGGCCGGAGAGAACTCAAAACCGCACCGCCTCCGCTAGAGCCAGCACAACAAACACGCCGCTTGACGTCCACAAACATCCTCTTGCGTCCCAGCACTCTTGCATGCATCTGTTGACGAGCCTCGCATATTCGCACGACACACGAAAGACGGCCAAGAAGGGTAGAAGAAAGAGCAGACCGCGAGAAAGAAAGACGGCGATGAAAAAGATGTACAACGTCGTTCAGCCCACCAATAGAAACGTACCTCCTCCTCTCAAAAGTCATTCAGGTGCAGACTACACCAGCAAAGCGCCAGCAATGCCCCTTATCCTCCACAGGACATGAGGCTGTCGACAGCACGGAATGCGTCCTTCCATCGACATGCATTCTGAAGAGGGGCAACTCGTTAAGCTCGATGATACTGTCTGCGCTGCACTTGAATTTGGGAAGCACACAGAGACGATGCTCTTAATGCACGCGCTGTTGGTGTTGGAGGCTCGAAGTACATTGTATGTAGCAGAATTATCCGCTCGCGCTACACCGGAGCACTTGGCATCCGCGTATATACATACATACATATTATTCCATAGCCTTTCCATGATCTCTGCATGTCCTAGTGATTTGTTCCTTAGCGATCCGGTAATTCTTCAGATGCATATATCTATGTTGAGCACGAGGTTCATTCGGGGTAGCAAAGAGCATGCGGTGTGGCCCGCCTTCTCCATCAGCTACCGTTATCTTGAGTTATACCGACATAAGTTTATAATAGCAACCTTTCTTCAACAATTACCGAATAGCCCGGCTAGCTCAATCGGTAGAGCGTAAGACTCTTATTACGTCTCTGTTAAAGCGATTAATTTGCGATCTTAAGGCTGTGGGTTCGACCCCCACGTCGGGCTTTTTTTCTTTTTGTCTTTTTCCCCTCTACTTCTTCCTTCCTCTTCTGCTTCTTGACCTTTTCGTTTTCTTCAAGGGAGTGAGTGTTTTGGGCATTGCTGACGACAGGATGTTTCCACGAGTACCTTGCAGGAAATCCATCGTAGTTCAGTGGCACTCCTAGGGCTACTACCTACCCTCGAGCGCCTACGAGGGAAGGCTTCCGCACTACCTAGACAATGTCTAAGAATCATTTTACTGTACAAAGGTGCCCTCTACATATCTCAGATTTTTTTAACTTCAAAGTCCTTTACTTCCTTTTCAGTAAGCGGGTTCGAAGAGGAAACACACACGCCAGAAACAGCAACTTTACTAGATATATCATGATATAGTAGTGTCAGGGCAGTCGGAATGCGCAGTCTACATAGCTGCATAGGGTGTTTGTTGGCCATCAGCTCGTGGGCAGCTCATCGTGGCTGTATATGTATACCCTCGGGTGACATTACATTAGCTATTCTCAGGTGTTTTTTTGGGCGGGATGAACATCGGGACCTAGTGCAGTCTTGTTTGATTTACTTCTCATATTCATGTAATTTTTACAAATTGGAGCGCGCCGAAGTCGGATTAGAAGAGCCAGATGCGTATGTAGGTATGTGGGGGGAGTCGTTCAGAAGCATTGCCCGACGAATGCATGAGAGCACCCCCGCGTCTTTCGAGAATACGAATGTGTACCCAGAAGTCTTCTTTTCCTCTCCCCCAAAACTTCCCACTCTGCTCCTTCTACGAGGAGGCTAACTACTTCGGAAAAAGCAGTCCAGAACCACAACGCGCGTAGGCTAGAAGTAGAGCAAAGTCTACGTGTGAACGTAACATAGTGTTGGGGGAGATTAGAACTGCCCATTCATGCCGGTAATCTAGGATACCTCAAAGTCTTCCTCAAGCGGCTCCTGTCGTTTTGAGGGTCGGAGATGACGACACGTCCGGTGCCTCGTGAGCAACTTACAATCCCAGATGTCAGAGAGAAGATTTGAATCAACAAGTCTCTCGTGATTCCGTATCACTTTCCTCGAAGTGCGGATGGAGGACAGCTCCCAAAATTTGAGCACAGCTCTGATCCGGTGGAACTGCAGATGTCACGCATAGCTTCTGTCACACACCAACTTCACACAACATCACCCCTTGTCCACATATTACACAGATCACAAGCACCATCATACGAATCAGCAATACCCCACACGGGTTATTATACATTTCAACGGAAGTCTAAACTCGCAGCGCCCCAAAGCCCCAAAGTTCGAAGGCCGTCCGAACGAATGCAATCCCATCCACCCCCATCCACCCCCATCCCCATTCCCACTATAAGATGATAGTACAGATGCGCACAATCACTTCGCCTCATCCTCATCCTCCGCATCTGAATGATACTCGAACTCGTCTGGCAGAGGCGCTTCCTCCGACCCCTCGTCCACTTGATACTCGCTGGCCGCACTGGTGGCACCGCGCACAGGTGTTTGCGGAAGAGCGGCATCCGAAGCTGATGCGCCTGAGGGACCTCCTACCGTCTGGCCTGGTGCAGCTGCTGGTGCGGTCTTCTTGATCTTCATCTCGAGGAGGCTCTTGGGTTCGGAGGGTTTGGTGTCTTCGAGGAGAATGACGCCACCGGTTGGCTGTTGCCATGCATTAGCAGATGCCGTCAATGTAATAACAGATTCACTAACCTTCTTGACCGGAACATATCGCTCTTCCGGGAAGCTGATGTACTTGATCTGACCGGGAAGCACACGCGACATGTTCTCCAGGTCGTAGCCAACCTTCTCCTTTTCCACCTTCTTCCGCGTCGTCTCGGCCGGTGTACCCTCCTTTGCGTCGGCCTTCTCCTCCTTCTTGGGCTCCTCGTCCACGTCCATCTTGTCCTCCTCCGCTGGAGCCTTCGGCGTAGTAGGCGTGGGGTCCACTTCCATACTCTCGCGCCGACGTTGCTTAGCCTTTACAGCTTTGCGCCGCCTGTCCTGGTGTGTGGTTGAAAGCACTGCTGTCTTGACCTTCTCCGGCGCCTCCTCCGCTTTGACCTCCTGCTCCGGCGGATAGTCGAACATGCTGGGCCTGGTGTTGCTGTGGAACTTGAAAGAGGGTACTTCGAGATCCTGGTCGACGCCGATGATGGCTGTAGGCGTGAAGCTCAGGGACAGGAAGTGTGTCAAGGGGAACCAGTACCAGTACTGCGTGAAGACAGCCATTCCGACAATGGCCGTCATGTTGAGGTTGCCGGTCTGCGTCTGAAGGCCGATGGTGCAGTTACGGCCGCCAGCGTCAATGATGCCGAGAGCGAGAGCGCAGCCAAATTTCGCCATGGCATCCTCGTGACGGTCGCCGATCATTTTCTGCAAAGTCTTCCTGATCGTAGTCACCTTAGGGTTCATCGCTTCATTCTGCTGAACCATAATCATAGAGAGAGCGATGAGAGCACCCTGGCGGACAAAGTCGGTCGAATCCTTCATCATGGGTTCGAGAAGGTCAATTGCCTCATGGAGTCCCGTGCCGGCACAAGCAATACCGAGGGCCATCGTGGCACCATAGCGAACATGAGGGTTGTAAGACTCGGAGAGAAGCTCGACCATGCGAGGCACGCTTTCCGGCTTCCTGAACAGGACAAATCCCAAGCTCATGACTGCGACCCGGCGGACGTCGTCATTGACGTCGCTCACAGCGACATGCAGCAGGCGACGTACCGCCTTGTTACTCCCTGTGCCACAATATGCTAGCGCGATGGTCATGATACCTCCGTAGCGGAGGTTCGAATCCGGCTCCTCCAAAAGACCATTAATCAGCTCATCAGCGGCTTCCTGGCGTGCGTACATGATGAGCGCCATGCCCATGGCAAGACCGCGGACAATCTTCTCGTGCTGCGTGTCGTGTGCGTATTGAATCATCTCCTCGAGAGCCTGCACATTGCCGGTGCCCAACATCACGAGACCCATGGAGAGACCGCAAGCTTCGCCACTGTTGGCAAGATCGCTGTGCAGAACATACTGCAGGGCCTCGAAGACTTCTTGTGAGCCGGTAGCCATACCAGCCACACCCAGTCCGAGAGCACCACCATGCTGGATCACCTCGTCGCTGGCAGCTTTGAACTGCTTGAGCAGATAGTCCAACACGTGCGTACCATGGTTGGAGTAGATCAAACCTAGGGCATACAGCGAACCTCCCTGCTCGTAGAAAGACCCAGTTGACGTAGCGGAGTTCTTCGGAAGGTACGGATCCAACAACTTCTGTCCCTGCGTGATGTTGCCACGATGGATGACACCGAGTGCTGCAGTCGCCGTGAACTTGGACCAATTCACTGCCTTGCCTAACCACTCCAAGTTCTCCCGGAAGAATGTGTCGTTGGTAGTGCCCGCGTTCATGAAGGCATTCGCGAAGGTCACACTGCTGTGATAAATGGAGTTTCGCGACTCCACACTGTCCCGGATCTTATTCAGGATCTGCTTGTCGGCGCGGTTGTTTCGGTAAAGGAATTCCATGTTCAAGGCGATGCTCTTAGTTCCTTGTAGTACTTCGCGGACCGAACTGTACACCTTGGATTCATCCTCGGAAGTTGTGTCCTTCGCCTCGTTACTCGAATCGGCATTTGCCAGTAATGAGTCAGACTCCTTTGCCTCCTCAGCGGACTTCTGTGTTGCCTCCCCGTTGGCCTTTTCTTTGTCGCCCTCTGGCAGGTCCTCCATGACTTTTGCGAGGAACTCCTGGGTGCTGTTCTCGTAGAGGTCGAAAGATATCTGATAAGCAATTGCGCGCGATTTCGCATCCCCGCGCTCGACGAGTTGTCGGATAAGGTTCGCAGCCATGGAATGCTGGTTCAGATAGACAACGCACTTGGCAATAGAAAAGTAGTCGGGGTTTGAGATCTCGTTAAGCAGGTCGAGGATCAGGCGGAGTATCTGCTGCGGTCAGTCCTGAAGCTAGTACATCGAACAATGGGATTACCTCATTCCGTAGTCCCCTCTCCTGCACGATCTCCATGCAGATGGACAGCACGTAGTCCATGAGCTCCTCACTCTTCGACGTCGAACCACTTGCAAGCTTCTTTCCCTGCTTCTTGTCGCTTTGGCTCGCGCGCAGGAACGTCTCCCTAAGAATATCCAGATTGCGTGCCTCAATCGCGATTCCAACCACCTGCTTGAAGTCTCCATTCTCGTAGCAGCTCTCGAAAATCCGTCTTATGGTAGCCTGGAGGTTCTTCTGGACATTCCTCTGCAATATCAGCGGTGCGGGGTGGGTACCGGCCACTCCTGCATTGCCGCCTCCAGCCACGGCCGATTCCCAGGTATCCGAATTCTGTCGCGAGAGAAGAGATTTAGAGGGCAGTGCCGACTGTGAGAAGGGAGTTATCGGCGATGTCATGCCGGCCGATGTGCTGGCGCCACCAGTGGTGTTTGCGGGAAACGATGTGGTCAGCTGAGGAGGTGTTTGGTTCGGCCGGCTGATAGGCGCGGGAGGGTTGTGCATCGCAGACAGAGCGATATATGTGTCGAGGCATTTCGCTGCAGATTCATGTTAGCTGCGTCATATTGAAATCCGAGGACCGCTGCGTAAGCGCCCATGGGAAGGCGAGCAAGGCCGCGTCATAGCACTCACCCAGTATCGTCTCCTCAAACTCGCCGTCATGGTGAATATCGAACAGCTTCCCTGCACCGAGCGCAAATACCATGCTCTCATTGTATTCCTGCAGCTGGTAATACACCTTGGCCGCCACGAGGGCCGCGAGCTCGCGTTCCGGAAACTTCTCGTCCTCGTACAGAGCCTCGCTGGGGCAAGTTAGCAACCGCATCTATATAGTGCGGTGAGCAAATTAGCATCTTACATCTGACTAACTGAGCCAGCAACCTCGGGCCACAGCAAATCAATCTGATCGTTCAACTGGCGCAAGGCGAAGGACTGAAGCGCCGGATCCGGTTCAGAGAGGAAACCGACAACGCCGGCAGCTGAAGTGAGGCCGACCATCTGGAAAGAGCGCACAGGTGGG